TGTGAGAGCAATGTTTCAGTCAGGTTTGAGAATTTCTCAGACCGCTGTGCCCAATTTTTGAGCCGAAAGGTGCTCCGAATCTGAGTTAAGGTGATGGTAGTTTTTGAAACATGCCAAGTAATGCCTTTTCTGTCACATTCGCAAACCGCCACCAAACATCCAGATGGTGCAACCTCTTCATAGGAGCATAAATCAGCCGATGATTTCTCAACAACCTCATGATTTGATCAATTTTTGCGGTCAATTTCCGCTCAAGCAAGTTTGCTCCGTAAAGTTCCCTTTTGGGAGTTTGATAAAAGCCGACTGCACTGCATATCTCAAGGTTTATTGGTGCATCTGTAGCCCACATATTGGAAAGTGACAAGTTGTGACAAGTTTTTTAAAGACATTTAGAAGAAAGTGGCTGCAACTTTTGACCAACCTCAATTCAGCCGTTTTCACCATTTTCCCCAAAGACCCCTTCGGTGTGCATATAACTGCAGAATTTCTCGACATAGTGTTAAGTAGTGTGAAATGCACGTAATGTCATAATTTGGAATCGTTCTATGCGAAACAGAGTAAGATATAGCAAAATTCTCGAGTGGCTGCAAACTTTTGGCCAGCACTGTATGGTCTCTTTCTGCTGTGTGAAATTTCCACTGCCCCTTATTTACCGAAATTCGGTCGAATGGAAATTTTAGAAATAGTTTTAGCCCCACACTTCTCAAGCCTGCTTCCAATTGCTGTTTCTAACTCTCTAACCTCTCAGTATTGATGTTGTTTGTCAAGCCATTAATCAAACCGGTCTTTTGTGACGAAATGAAAGTCGATGGAATAAAAATTATACGATCTGCGATATAAAAATCAAATTCAGAGGAGGGATAGCATCATTTTTAGGAAGCCCGTCCACAAAAAGCAAATAGCGATTTTTCTGGCAATTATTCGGGAAACAAAGCGAAGCTTTATGTTGACCTTTCCTGCCTATTTGATAGTCGTTATTTAGGTGTCAAGATCTCACTAAATACCAAGAATTCTCTTACCTCATGTAAAGCATGAAATTCTCGTCTAGCAAAATCTTGAAATCACATCTGACACCATTGAAAATCGTCAAGCAAGTAGCCTGAAGATTTCAATCAATAAGGAAATGTAAGTGATGATTGCATCTGTTGCAAAAAATGGACATGGCCACTTACTTGTTCAATATTTACTCAGGCAATGAAACGTGAAGGTCAGCATGGTGCAATCAACTCTCGAAGGCCAAATACTTCCGTTTTACATTCCTTGAAAGTAAGTGCTGTTTTGTATTTAAAAAAAAAGTAAGAAGAGAAAAATCGATGAAAAAGGTTGACAAGTCAGGAAAATTGTTAAAGAAGAGCGTGACGGGCACATGCGCGTACGAAATCGATGCGCATTCAGTGAGGAAAGCAAATGCTCGAAAATCATGAGAAGAAATCATTGAAAAAACCTAATTGAATTAAAGTAGGAGTGCAACCTGAGATCTAACATTTCAGAAATATATTCAGAATAAGCAAATATGTTTTCACCTTCTACTCCAAGCAAGAGGAAGAATCAATAAACGCAAAAGTAATAGGATTTAGCAAGACGAATTTGCGCAAAAACGAGATGAGAAAAATTCGACGAGCAAACTTTCATCTGTCGTCTTCTCAATGTCGAAAAAAGTTGTAAATCGATAAAACTACTTTTTTACTACTTTACCTTTTTCGATTGAACTATATTTATTGACTATTTGAACTACTTCCTACCGTTCAACAACAAAACAAAAGGTATTATGCCAAGATTCACAGAAGGTCGAACTTGGAGGCGATAAAACTATTTTTGAAAAAACATCAATGATTTGGTAGGCAAAACAACTTTGTTTATTGAAACCGCTTGAAAAGGATGGAATAGACATAAATAGATATTGAGAACTCAGCAAGGAATAAAATTGACAAAAAAAGTATTTTGCTCGTACAATGCCTATGCTGCCACCAAAAGGAGAAATCAATAAGCAGGAGATGTACAAAACAGTTTATCAACCAAAACGAAGAGGAAAACGTAAAAATCTGTCTAAAAATCGTAATATAAAATCCTTCTGTCGAGAATCTTTAGACTAAACCCACATTTGCAACCAAATAAATCGCTGCATATAACGCGTGCCATGAGCGTTGCTTGGCATCGGACTTTTTCTTCATTCACGTGCGCTTCACTTTGCTGTCTCATAATCTGCTCAAGAAAACGTTCTTATCGCAACACTTGCAAATCAGAGATGAGAAAGTAGAAGGGTAAAGGTAGCGTAAGGGTGTATCAAGAAATGCCACAAATATTTGATTACTAATAGCTCTCCTGTGTCACCAGTTTTCGCGGACCTTCGAAAGGGCCGGCTTCAGCAAAGTTTCGCTGTACAATTGAATCACCTATCGCTCTTCATTACGTAGGATTAGGTGGAACCTGTAGCATAATGTCGCTATTGTAAATTGCTTTCAATTTTGATTCCCATGGAGTCTAAAAAATTAATGGTGGGATTTCAAAATCCGCCAGCAGTAGTAAATGTCTTTGCACAGGATTGCAAAGCAGTTTGGACATATTCAAATCCTGTTCACAAAGTTTCCCTTCAAAGTTTTTTTACTAACAGTACAGGAAAGTTACTATCGATTTAATCAATGCACTTTTTGTGACGCCTTCTAAATGTTGCAAGGAGTCACATATAGATCTATCTGCTCAGAAAAGCACTTATCAATAACATGTATCGAACAGCGGCGAAAGTTTCGTAGGGGTATTTAAAAACGGGTTTACTCTATGGATCAAATAGCCAAGTCTCATGGGTACGCTGGTGCAGAGCCTACCCCTAACCCTCACGGATTAATAACGCGTAAAGCCAGTACCAACTTCTGGGTATACCACATACAAAAAACCGCTTTTTGCTTGCCATACACATATCGGATGATAAGAAGCGCGGTACGGCTATGCGTGATTTCACAGGTTTGCAAGACGTTGTTGGAGGGTTAATACCTCCCTTGAACCTAAAACGTCAAATGGTTAAAAATCGATCGCTTGACCGTACATGCGTAAGTCTAGCAGTCGTTTGCTCATTTGGCAAAGAAGGTGACTGCATGGTATCCGGAGCTATCTACTTCATCACAAGTTTATCGTGTTGTGATACGTATATCTTAGAAACTGGACGCCCTCTTTACTGCCGCGAAAGAATATCTGTTCGAATTAAGTAAATCAAAAGCAGTTTTCCGTTAGCAGTCATTGCATTTCGTGCCGCGAAAATGCTGAGGTACGTATCGTGTCTATACTAGCGTACGATCCCAAGCTTTTTCGCAAATATTGGAACCGTTTTATATCAACGCCAAGAGTCCAAAGATGAAATGGAAGATGGAGTGCATTGCGATCACCAGTGAACTTGCGCGGTATCAATCCCTCTGGATTTTGATAGAGGTCAGGTCACCGGAGGCTATAAAAGGGGAAGAAGTATTATCCGAGCAGATGTGGTCTATCACCCCTTTGAAGTCGTGCAAGGTGAACATTGGTACCCGGTTCTCTCCTTTGCGTTTTGTGCTATCTCCAAACTTACTTTAGCGATCTCGCTGAAACCTTGGCCGTAAATTAAGCGTGATTAACATCTTGGCCGACGCCCAATCAGCTGACAGCTATTGTGAAAGGCGTTTAAATAGTCTACAATTTATTCAGAAATACAACACGTGATAAAATAATACATAACCTTTGATTCAACTGGCTTGGCTTCGGGAAGGCAGGGTTTTATGACCTGATTGGGGGCTCGCGCCAGTTGCGCATCTGCGTCTCTCTCGCGCGAATGCTCTCTGATCACTAGCTAGCCTTAATTAGGCTACGAAGCTCCGCCTTCCCGAAGCCAAGCCAGTTGAATCAAATGGTACACATCAGCGTACATGTCGCAGCTAACAAGGAAACGATACTCGGTGTCCGTGACCTTTTGAGATGATATGTATACCATTAAAGTCGTCTTGGAACACTGATTCCGAATCTGACTTCTGTTTCTGCTAATCGCTTCAAAAATGTTATAATGGATCGCGCGGATTGTGGATGCCCAGTGAAATACGGTCGGAGTAGCCAACGACACCGGTGCACTGTGGTCTAGTGGTTAGTGCGATAACCCCATGAGGTGATGCAGCTCCAGGTTCGAATCCTTTTGTGTTTTTCGGTTTTGCATTGCCTCAATTAACCTTCTTTCAGGTCATCGAGCTAAGTGAACGCCCTTACTCTTCAAAAAATGTGGAGATTTAGAAAAAATGATTACTATTTGCGCTAAATTATATCCAGTGATCATAGCTCAAGTAAATTTTCTCGAACAAGCTTAAAAGGTAATGCAAAAGTAAAAACACAAAAGGGTTTGAACCTACACTTGCATCAACTTATAAGGCTATTGCACTAACCACTAGACCAGAAAATGGCCGCGGTACAGGCCGTTCCAATGGCCATATTTCCCTTGAGCAGCCAACTTGGCTCGAAATTCCCCCATAACTTCTTTCAGAGAAACGATTAGCAGAAACGGAAGACAGATTCGGACTCAACGTTCGAAGACGAGTGTGATGGTATGAATCGTGTTTCGAAAGGCCACGGACATTGAGTATCGTTCCCTTGTAAGTATAAAAACAATTATAGAACACACCAATCTACCGAACATAGCAATGCGCAGGGGATACGCCACCTCTACAATTTACAAGTGCCTAACAAGGGATTGTTCAGTAGAACAATCCTTTTGTTAGGCAGTCAAAAAGACAAATGTAAACAAGTACATACTATCTGATACAGTAAACAATGCTGACTCTAAATCTGTCTTCCATATGTCTTTGTCTTGACTTCTGTCTGTGCTGAACGCCTTTGTAGGCGAAGTTATGAGCAGTTTTACTGCGAAAAAATCACACAGAAAAATAGCGAAGTTGAGGACATCACTACTCTTTCAGCTCAGCTTTAGGTATGTGAGCTATATGAAGTAATCCAGCTGCATGTTTTGGCCTAACATTGAGCTGAAGATGGCTCTATACGGCCAAAATTGCACTTCGCACCCAACTCTTAGCAAAACAATGTCCTTCAATGGCTACTAGCTTCGCGCACACAAGTGCTTTGCAAATTAGGAAGACAGATTTAGAGCTAGCGTTTGTTTTATTTGGATTGGCCGCTTCGACTCTACCATTCCCTCGTAAAATAAAAATAGCGAACCGGTAATAGAACACACACATTTCTAACAAACGATATCTACCGTAGCAAAAATAGAAACCGTTATTCAATACTCTAGTTCTGTTCTCAAAATACGAAACTCCAAGTTTTACGAATCGGTCATTCAATGATTGCTATCTTCATAAGATATGGTTGTCAAGGAGAAAATTGTAGAAGAATTAGCCTCACTGGAACATTTGCACAAGAACGCAGATAAATCACTTCTCGCTGATCAGTTCTGGAGCACGTAAAGCAACCTCAGTCAAGCTTCCCTAAAAATCTTGGCTTTAACTTTGCAAAGCTTCCAAGACCTCAAACACCTTGCGAAACGAAAAAAAATATAAGAGCTTTTGTCGAGCTTTTAAGAGCTGTATAACCCACATTGAAAACTCTAGCTTTGACTCCGAGCTGTCTCAGTACTAAAGCGAGTACTGATGCTTGTACGCCCTTGTTACATACCGTCACTGTAGGAAGATCGCGATTGAACCCTACGTTCTCCAGAGCTGGAAGAAAAGGTTTTTCCTCTGAAGTTAATTGATTTGAAAAACAATTTGTTACCTTTCTCAATTTCTGCCTTTGATTTTAGTCCTTCAGCTCCAATAACCTTATCTAGTGGCAAGTTTTTAGATTTTGGCAAACGGTAACCGGGCACTCCTGAATAGACCATATGTAAGACTTGTCTCAACTCGTCTAAGTTATTTTTGCAGTCCGCGTGCCAGTGCTGTGCTGGCGCCGTTCCATCGCCGTTCCATAATTCACATGGACGCGTCCGTATCGATCGACCAATGCTAGCGGGGTTACACGGCGCTGGCACGGGACTGCTGAGTCAGCTTCACCAACCACACTAAATCCGTGCTCTGCGGAAAGGCTGTATTTGCAGCGGACAAAAAACTCAACTGGGTTATATAGTGCGTATTTGCTCTAACTTGCACAAAAGAAGGAAGAAAATTTTGTAATGTAATAAGGGTTTGTAATTGTTTACTCAACTCAGTCTACCCTATTCAATAGGATTGACGGCTGCAAGGCGGGGCTTTGAGGCCTAATAGGCTAAGGAATGGTCAGAGAGCACGCTCGCGAGAGAGACGCAGAGGCGTCGCGGGTTCGAGCGGTCGCTTTTCAGCCGCCAACCACATTGAATCAAAAGGAACAACAAGGGAAGGGGTCGAATATTATGTTGAAAAGACCAAACCTTTGGTAGGTATTTGCAATGGATCTTCACCGGTAAACTCTCCTGCAGGTCGGCCATCCATCATATTAATCTACAACTCTACTCAACTCAAAAAATCTACAATAAAACTGAAAAGATCATAAATTACTCAAGGCATAAGAGACAAAACAATTCGGCAGTTCAAATAGGTTCTCATGGCGCTACTAACCTTGCTCAAATCATCAAACAAGGATGGTATCCCGGGTCTTCCTTCACTCAGTTCTTCGAATGTAATGTGAATGGATTTGTCAATGGGCTTTGCCTTCCAGTTTCCTGGCTGCAAGTGAGATAAGTAGAGAATTCTGGATAACAGTGGCGGACTGAGCCCCCTCCCCCCGGAGAATGGTTCGCGAAATTTTTGAAATTTACTCACATGGGCTGTAAAAATGTGTATTCTTGTAAATATTTAAAATAATTTTTAAAAATTTTTAAAAATTCAAATCAGCCTTGTAAAAAAACTTTCGGAGGCATGGCGGCTTTTTGGAGCTTTTAGGGGTCACGGACCTGCAAAAATTTCGAGAAGCATCCCAAAATCTTTTTCAAAGTGCATGACTAACGCCACGTACCTTCATTTGAAAAAAATTTTTGCCGCGCCCCCAGGTCCGAAATCCTGGGACCGCCACTGCTGGATATATAGATTTATGCATAGTAGCATTAGGGTAGGGTTAATCTGTAGGTGCCCGGCAAAAAATAATTACTATATCGTCCCAACAGAAAATTCTAGAATAAGAAGTTTTTGTCAAGCCTTATTAAGGACAGGAATCTGAATTGAGATTGGAAGGTTGCCTCAAACGTGATAAGCACAAAAATTTTGCTGGACTAATGGATAATGCAAAATTTTAAATTTATTCTCATTTCAGTCCGATAGCTCCAAGCTACATTTGTCTAGCTGGAATGTTATTTTCCCGTCTCGTTGCGGGTACGTAGCTGAACTGGCAAAATCCTAAATACTCTTTATATCTGAGGAAAATTTTTGCGAACTTCCAACAATAAAGTTGTTCTAGTCACATTTTGAATTCGATAGCATATTGGAGAGAATAGGAAGCTGATTCCAAATCTGTCCTCGGTATCTGCTGCGCTCCTCTGGACGGCAAGTCATGAGCTTGTAGAGTGAAAAAAAAAGAATTTAAAACCTGACTGAATTTTTTACGCTCTCTTTCTTGCGCTCATATAGGGCAGCAGTAATTATGAATCTATCAAAATCCATCGCATAGGTACTTACATCCAACGCTGGCTTGTGAGCGGTATCGAATGATTTAGCCTTGCAGACAGCGTCCACCCAAAAATTCGCCTCCTATGTTACTGCCATTCTGGAGCTTTGCGTGGCCCTGATTACGACTATGATGTTCAAATTGTCCAACCCCCAAAAAACCCGATTCCTGGACACCCTAACTTGAGGGCGCGGACGGCTTTCAGTAAATGGGTGGGCGGAGCTTGATAGGATCTGGGCGGAGCTTGATACTGGTTCTTCCAGGCCCATTATCTCCATTCAGAAACAACATAAGAGGACCGGAACAACGCAGATGCCCCTACCCTGAAGCCTACATTCAGGACCAGAATCTAATCGGAAGGGTTAATTTAGCCTGGACACTGCCATTAAGCTCGCGTTCAATTTTTCAGCGTACGAACGCACATAACTAAGCATTCAGAAGGCACAGCAGATACCCTAAACAGTTTTGAAGTCAGCGTTCAATGCTTGTCAATGGCATGGAACGCTGACTTGAAAGGGCCACTTCAAGTAGAAGAACTTTTCTCATATTTTTTCGCAAAGTCTTAGAAGTTTGGTTTATGGCACTTCATTCACAAACAAATACTAATTTGCCAACCTCAACATTCGGTACAATATTTGACACCGATTCGCCAGCTTTTTTCCAAGCATTCAATCCACCATTGAGAACCGAGACTTTTTCATGACCATAAAGCTGTAATAGCCCTTTCACGGCAAGCCAGAAGTAAGTTTGCAGATTCAGGAAAATATTTTTTTGAAGGTTTCTACCAAGATAAATATATGTAAAGCTTAGAGAAACATGTACATGTTTCCCTTTAAAGATACCTTGAATGTCCACCACACCCGTGATGCCCACAGCATTCCCGCAAACGCTCCTCTAGCATAGATGACTACATGGTCTCCAGCATTGACACCCAGCTGTTGTATATACTTCTCAAACTCTTCAGGAGGATGAAGATCGAAAACTATGTACCTAGAAAGTTTAGCAATAAACAATAAGAGCTTAGAAATAATTACATTTTATCTACACCAATCTTACACTTACTTGCTGGAATGGTAGGCCTCAGCGAAATCAAAAAATACAGCTCCAGGAATGTGCTCTTTTTCGTATGCTTCGCCGTTACTGACCTGAATCTAGGTTACAAGTCGACTATGTTTTGATAAAAAGAGACTCTTATGACTACATTTCAGGTTTCGAACACATGATTTTTGCCATTATCTTGGAAAAGTCAAAACGTTATTACAGTGATCCGTTGAAAAGCGACATTCCGCAACTCCAGTGGAATCGCCTGGCACTCGCACTATACAAAAATTCTTTACAGGGCTTGGCACAAGAGCTTGATGGGCAGGATATTTTAGAGGAGTGAGGGGGGAGGGGGTAAAAGCAAAGGGGATACCGAATTTGAGTGGTCCGGGGCCGAGCCTTGGAAGCAAGTACATATATCAGCCTAGTTTAGTGTGGTGCATATAAGGTTTGTAAGATGGAGTCTAGCAAGTGGTAAATTCCTAAAACTCTTCTATCGAAAAAACTTCACTTAAAAAACACGCAAAGCGATACGATACTGTTTTGATACGAAATTAAAAAATAAAGAAACATCAAGAGTCAACTTCATGCCCATCAGCAAAACAAATTTTTTTATCCCCCCCCCCACCCCGTCCCACCAGAGAAACAGAACTTAGCCCATCGTTATTAACACATAAGGAACATGAATACTGCCACCTTTCATCTCTTCTCCCTCTCAATCCCCACCCAGAATCCCACCGCCCGTTCCTCTTTCTATTCCTCATCTATTGGAGACATCGCATGTGCTTATCAATGCCTTACCAACCTCATTTTCTGCAACCAGCAATTTTCCGCTAGTGTACTCTTCGTGCAAACGTAGGAATTCAGAATTGTGATTCGAAACAAAAGGCTTGTTCACAAAAGAGACTATGATATGACACGATTGGTCTGTAAATAGCATTAGGAATTGAAACCGTGTGAGAAATTATGGAAAAATTACGTGAATCAAAGACGTAGCAAACTTTTCTAGATGGCACCTGAGATAGCTCAGAGAAAACAAACTTATAGAATTCTTCCTGTTCACGCAACTCTCTTCATAACTTTTACACAGCTACTGCGTGACGAAGGCGCAGAAGCACTATTACTTGAGCGGGCGCGAACGCGACGAGCGCGTATTTTCACCGCTGTATATCCTGCACCTCATGCGCTCTGCGACTAATAAAGCCGTGTTCGCACCCGAAGATATTGCGCCTTCGTCATGCAGTAGAAACTCTACAGACCAGTTTTTAAATTTCTCCAAATCCTTTCCTTCCCGCCTAGTTATACCCTTCCGGATTTTTGAATGGAAGCGGCAATCCTCTCAAAGCGCGCAGTGCGCGCCGCACACGGCATGCCGCCAATCTGGAGAATACGAACATCGCAACTTTTTCAATCGTCTGTCAAAAGTTGTTTCTCGTATTCTTCTCATTCGCGTTTGTTTTCACGTTTTCAATCATTCTGAGCGTGTCATAGGGAATATCGTGGGACTTCTTCTCCAAAAAATTGCCAGAGCCAGCTCATGCCGAGCCCTGATTTACGCACCTGAAATTCTGTGTTGTTAGGGGTCGGTGGTTGGTACGTTGCATCGAGTAGAACGACGGTGTTCTGCAAAAGATTTGGAATAGTTGCACCTAAACAGTCACTACAGATCCAGCCACCATGCTGCAGCAAACTTGCCGGAGCAATTCTTTTCGATTTTCGTATCATCGAAAAACCTAACATTTATTTGTAGCTTTAAACTTTCTTGATGATAAGCCTCATTCTTCCAACTTAGACCTACATGAAATCTCGTTCCACTAAAACAACTCACTTTATTTTCCGCAAGCCACTCGACGCTCACTATATCTTCTACAGCTGGTCTGAAATTGAACTTTCATTTACGATAGGTCTACTTGTAACAGAGTTACAAAAAGTCGTTTATTTCCATCCCACCAAATCATAAAAATACCTTTGATTTCAATGGGATAACCAAAGAAATTATAGGTAATTCTTCGGCTAGATAAAGTTTTTCATTGTCCATGTTGTACGTTTTACAAACAAATTCGGAATGAGCTCTTGAACATACGCTGAATCTTATGAATAAACTAACTAAGCATTAGTGGGTAAACGATGAAGAAGAATGTCGATGAGATGCATATCAAAACGCAGTAAGCTCACATTATACCACTCCAAGCTTCTCATACCTTACAACTTTTTTCGCTATTTTTTTTGTAAATGAAGTAGCATAAAAGAAGCCGTTGAGAACACAATCTTGTTATTTAAGCCAAGCGCTACAGGAACTGTTCAATGAATATCATGTAATTTATTTTGTTCTTATCGTCTACTAGCTGGCATACCCGGCTCCGCCGTATGTTCCGAATAGAAAATTCCATTTCTTAACCGATCCGAACCAAACTTGGCACACATACACTTCGGGCCCCGGCGGGTGTCACAGTCCACTTTTCGTTATCGATTGATGTCGATTTTATCGATTTTTTGCAAAATTTGAGCTAGGGGGCTGGAATTTGGCATTTGGAATTTGGAATTTACCCCCCTGTGCCAAATCCCAGCCCCGTAGCTCAAACTTTGCAAAAAATCGATAAAATCGATATCGATCGATGACGAAAAGTAGCCTATGACACCCGCCGGGGCTCGTAGCGCATGTGTGCTAAGTTTGGTCCCGATCGGTTCAGAAATGGAATTTTCTATTCGGAACATACGTACAGACAGACATACAGACATACAGACATACAGACAGACATACAAACAGACATTCAGCTTTATATATAAGATGCGGTGGGGGAGACATCTTTCGGACAAAAGAGCATGGCGTTAGACGGACGCGGAAAAATCTCAGTTCCCAAGATGAGAGCCCGTAATCCCGAGATTTTGCGCAAGGAAAGCAAGGTTGCCCCCAAAAGGCCCTGCCCTTAAAAATGCAACGCTGGAAAATTTGTGAGAAATTTCAGAGATTATTTTGATTATTCACAAGCATAAATAAGTATTTGCAGTTTTGCAAAATATGTAAGTATTTACTTCTTACAATTATTAGGTTGTCCGGAAATTAATGCCCGTTTTGGAATTTCAACCGCAATAAGTCACACACTTCTCATTTCTAAATATGTTGCAAAATACCATTCGACAGAGCAAAGCAAGCTCTACAAGACGATTATCTTGATTTTGCAACAGCTCTCATCCACCTCGAGTTTCGAGCCAAAAACTGAAAAGACTCCTCAGCCCGAAAAATCGAAAAAAATCGTAACTCAGTTCATAAAAGTCCTACAAAAATTCTAACTTGCTCACGCGAACCTTATCCACATAAAACATCTATATACGCCTTTGCCGTATTTTTTCCTCTGTTAGAAATCAAGAAAACGAAAATTTTTGTGCATTTGCCAAAGTGATGCTGTGCCGTCCCCACATAGGTAGTTGTATAGTATAAACCTGTAGAAGTACAAACGTAAATTTTCAGCTCTCTGCAAGCTTTAGTTCTTGAGAAATTTGAATTTTAGCTTGGACCACCTAACTAGGGAAAGCTACATTCGGTACTTCTCGAGAACCAAAGCTTGTAGAGAGCTGCAAATCAACGTTTGTACTTCTACAGGCTTGTAGTATACAACTACCTATGTGGGGACGGCACAGCATCACTTTAGCAAATGCACGAAAATTTTCGTTTTCTTGATTTCTAATGGAGAAAAAAATACCGCAACGGCGTATATAGATGCCCTACGTGGATTGTGTTAACATGAGCAAGTTGGAATTTTTGTAGGATTTTTATGAATTGAGTTACGATTTTTTTCGGTTTTTCGGGCTGCTGAGTCTTTTCAGTTTTTGGCTCGAAACTCGAGGTGGATGAGAGCTGTTGCAAAAGCAAGATAGCCATCTTGTAGAGCTTGCCTTGCTCTATCGAATGGTACTTTGTAACATATTTAAGAGTAGGAAGTGTATGACTTATTGCGGTTCAAATTCAAAACGGGCATTAATTTCCGGACAACCTAATAGATATTTAGAGGCCCGTCTTCAAGTGACGTGCGGGTCCCAACACAGAAGTTTCCAGTGATCCGTGTCCCTCGCTTCAGAAATCCACAATTCCTGATTGTTATCGATGGTTGCGTTTACGAGATCCAGGGGCGAAAATCGTATCCAGCTGATTTCTCGGCTGGTCCATCCGTTCCACGAACAAGTCTGCCCATTTCGTTGATGGTCTTCCTTGGGGACATTTCGCTTTGCGAGAAATCCACTCAGATGTTCTGTCTTAATGTCCATCTGTCGTCTGTTCCTCTCATGATGTGACCGGCCCATCGATGCTTCGCTTTCGCAACAATCCGCTGGGTCACAAAGACGGGACATTCTCCTCATATCCGTACTGCGAAGTCCGACGAGATGTTGTTGGTGTCGGGTTTCTTCAGTAGACTACGCTCTAGCGCTCTGTGGGTGGTCCTTAAAGCTTTCGTAGTAGCGACGGTGTCAGCCCAAGTCTCACCTGCGTAAAAGAGCGCCGGGAAAACCAGTGAGTCGAATAGGTGGGCACGAAGCTCCGGGTTTGTCAGTTGGTCGGTGGCTTCCCTCAGAGGCCCGAAGGCGGTCCAGGCTGCTCTTCTTCTCCTGTTAAGTTCTTCTCTCAAGTCGTTCTCCATGTTCATCGAACGTCCGAGATACACGTAAGAAGACTTTCCATGATAGGGGTACCTTTCATTTGTGCATCTTCGCAAAGGAAAATGAGTCTTCTTCTGATTTACTCGCAATCCGATTTCCCCCTCCGTTTAGTTCTTTCAGCATCGCCTCTGCTTCAGGATAGTGCTAGAAAAGAGAACGATGTTGTCTGCAAAACGAGAGTTCGACAAGAATTCCCCATCAACTCGTATGCCTTTCTCGTCGCAGTCCAGTGACGACATCACCCATGCAGGGCCGGGGTGGACAGCTTGCGAGATCGCGTCGCCTTGTCGGACACCCATCCAAATTGGGATGGTCAGGGGCGATGGAATAGCTGCATTATCGTTGCACAGTCCATGTAGCAGTTGGCTAATGTCCTCATGTAAGCCGGGTCCACTTTTTGATTGTAGCGCACATAACGACGTTGGCTTCGACGCCGTCAAAGGCTTTCCCCTAGTCGAGAAGGGTAGGAAGAGAAACAGCCGGTCTCGGCAGACTTCTATGACCCTCGAAACCGTCTGGATGTGGTCCATGCAGCTGGATCCTTTGTGAAGTCCAGTTTGTTCTTGGGGCTGCGCTTCATGTAGTGTCCTAGAAGGCGAGCAAAGATAATCTTTATGGAAAACTTGTACAACACACTCAGTAGGCATATTGCACGGTAATTCCGCCTCCCATTCGCCCTTCTTGAAAGAACGGTTGTTGAAGTATATGCTAGTCGCTCCTTTCCTTCTCAAGATAAGTTGTTGAATGCGACGTGAAAATCTCGTGAAGATGTTGTCCTCTTGCTCGCATAAGAGTCCGACGGAAGAAAGTCTAGTCCTGGAGCCGTGGATGTCTTCATAATTTGAATCGCGATGCACATTTCAACAGGCACAATCCTCGGTGGTACTCTCCAGTGGAAACAACGCCACGCACCTCTGTCCAAAAAACTGTGTCCCCTCCCCCACCGACCGGAGTCTCAGGACTGGCATTACATCATCTCAACGCTTCGTAAACACAAACTTACTCTTCTTCCTCCTCTTGCTTGTCCTCACATTTCCAAGCATTTTTTGTGGGAAAGTAAGTCACTAGGAATGTGACAGCTATAGCCACGAGAATTGCAAAAATTACGAATACGTGTATCACTTTACAAGATTTCGAATAATTTCCGCTCATATTCACAGCGATCTGAAATCTGTAGAATTACATGTGTGTTGAAAAACCAGATAAGTGAAAGACGTAAATGGCAAGCATTGTCAAGCGTATTAGTTATGTCTGTCATATGTCTGATAAGGCTACCGAAACTTTTTTGCTTGACATTTATGACACTTGTGCATTCTTGAGATGAAAGAGAAAGCGCCTAAGGAGGAGTTATAAATTAGATGTAGCTGACTTTGAAAAATGAAAGGCTTTGCACAAGTAAGTGGAAAAAAGACCCCAATCTATTTAAATACAACAACAGCTTGCTTACAAATGCACGAGCGGATCCGCTGAGGATCCCTCGAAAAGTGCGCGTCAAAAGGATCCTCTTGGCTTCTGGCCAAAAATTGGGCCTGTACCACCATTTTTTACGAAGTCATGCATATGTTTGACAAACTAAGCGAGAGCCACAGAATTCAGCCCATAAAATCAGATCACAGTTGATTACTTTACGAAAAGGCGCCAAAAAGAATCAGTTTCATAAATGTTCAATTTGCTAACATTTTACCTGATCATATGAGAAGATTTTTGCTCGGAGATGTAGTCCACGGTGACTATTGTCCTTATAGCGACTACCAAGCCATAAAATGTCCAAAAACTGATTCAATTTTGCTTTAGTTCTTCTGGGAAAAATTTCATTCACGCGAAAATACCGATCCCACCGGAAAAAGCTCTAGGAATGAGTAGTTGTTTACAAATCATTCGTGATAGCCTGCTAGCGCGGTAAGCTTTATTGTCATTATTATGCCGGAATGAGTAAGGCATACAGAAATTGGGCCAGTGCGAGCCTCTGCCAAGTAAGGTGACGCACTGGTTTATTATAGTTGAGTTACCATTCAGAGTCCTTACTGGTTCTTTCACCATAATTTACCATGCGAAAGAATCGTTGGTGAAATAACAATTCGACAAACATCATGGAACATAACTTCAAGAATGATATCCAAGAAAGTCTATAATGGAGGAAAACGGACTTTTTAACCCCACTTTATTCGTTCGCGGTGGAAACTAGTCGGAGCAACCATCGAGGCAAAGCGTTGTAATGAAAATGATTCAACCTTACCTGAGCTCTCGTTTTCGCTTGATAAAATCATGCGAAAAGCTCGTTTAGAATGGGGCAAAATGGAAAATGCCTCGATTTTAAATGGACTTGGAAGCCCATTTCACTCCCAGCAGCAAGGTGAGCTGGGACTAAGCTCATTTTTGACCGTTTTGCGCAGTTTTGATTGCGATTTTTCGAGTGTGTGTTTCTTAGCCTATTTTAACACGCTTACCGGTGCTGCACATGGTGCAGCACGCGCCTTTCAAGGATCTTTTCAATGTTTGCAGGAGGTTTTCTTTCTGTCCAAGGTTATCAAATCAAAGGCCTAAGCTCCTTCTTTTCAAATGACTCTGTAGAGTTGTGCCGACGGTATTTGTTTAGAAGATATGGGGACAAATCGAACAGTTGCAATGAAGTGCGGCAACGCGAATGACGCGTGCGACGTCGCAACTTTTCTCTGCTCCTATTTCGAAGAGAAAAACCGTGGCTTCAGTAATGATGTGTATTGTGTACAACATAGATACTTTTTGATACAATCAGAAACTGAGTTCCTGTTTCTTTCTTTCAAGAAAGCACAGAAGTCCTTCTCAGATGACAAAGTTCAAACACTTCGAATTCACTCAGAACTTTGGGTATAGAGCATATACGACATGCTGATTACAGATGTAGCACAAAGTCTACCAATCAAGGCCCTTTTGCTGGCTAACGGCTGAAAGTACCCTCTTTTTCGCCGCGCGCGATTTCGCGGTCCGAAAAGTGTTAAGGTAACAAGTGAGTGGAAAAAAAATCATGTCTTTTACAATTCTGAAATAAGTGTTGCCTCCTAAACTCATACGAACGCTATGAAAATCATGGAAGAAGGTTAAATTTACCAAAATATTCGCTAGCAAACTCAAATGCTTCCGTTTGGTCGATGCTTTTTACGAAATCGACTACTCTTCAAATCATCAACCAAAACTAAATTCACGATTTGATTACAAGAACAAAAAATTGCGTTTCAAGATGGGTACTCAGGAGCTCCTTTTATCTTTTGACAAATCTACGACCCTCAAAAACGGTACTCTGAAAATCCCGATTTTGTGTTTGGTCGCAAGAAATACTCAAGGCATCGCTAGCTAGCTAGAATAATTCTGTAAAAAATTTCTTACTAGCAGTAGTCCATATATTAATCAGGCATTAATCTCGTATGGATATATTATAAAAATGTCAAATAGTTATTCTATACAGCATTTTATTACAGAAAACACTCTTTGATACCCAAAATTCCACACCGTTTTTATAGGTAGTCGCTATTTCAAATTCTATTTTTGACTTATAATTTCATAAAATGCAATGATAAGAGTATTTGTCCTGACGTTTTACGCAACTTTTTGTTAAAGTGTTTTCCTGAGGGATTGACTACCACAATAACGTATAGCCGTGTAGCCTACTGTTATGTAAAACAAACTCTTGCAGATTTTTTGGAACAATAAAGACATTCTTTTAGTGTTACAAGAAACTCAAAGTCACGAAGTTCAAAGCGCCCTCGTTGGAAGCTTGATTCTCAGACCTAGACAACAGAACTGCGCTAACTATCGTAAAGCGCAGACCTCCTTCTATTTTCAAATATAGAGCAATAAATTAGGCTTGTAAAGAAAAGTAACCTAACTGACTTTGAACTGTGTAGGAATTTTGCAACAAGCAAATAATTTGAAATCTGTCCAAAATTTTCAAGATTTGCGGACAGCGAAAAGAAGAGGCATTGCTTAAGCACTTCCTATAATGCTGATTAAGGGATGTATTCGCTTTACTTCAGTTGTTCGTAGTACTCACCTAAGCAGCTTTGATCATCAGAAACATATGATGAATGGAAGATTAAATTTTGTGACTTTCGCATCATTCTCCTCAAACTCACACAGTTGATGCAAGAGAAACAGTTTTCAAGTATCGAGGGCTATATTTGTATGGGAATTCTAGAAGTTTTGCATACCTTATGACTTGAAAGTTTGCAAGTTTGGAAATTTGTGTAACCATCAATTCTTCTCACAATATTTTCGAAGCGGATGCCGATGATGAAAAATCATTATAGCCTTCAAATATCTTTAAGAGTTCTCAAGCAAGTGCGAAGAAAAATTTGCCCCGCTTATAAAGTTAATTCTTGGATTACTAAATCCCAAAAATTGGCGGCATATGAGACTAAAATGTTGATGTGAAAGTTGTTCGACTATTTAGAGATACAAACATTAGTGCTGAAAGGGGAAGAAGAGCTAAAGCAGAGAATCTGCGAAGTCACCTTTCTGCAGATTTGTAGTTATTTCGACTTAACCCCTTTGGGTTGTAACGTAATCATAGGTTTCCTATGAGATAACATTCTGGTTCACAGATTGCAGTGCAACCTAGCAAAAATCTACTCTCTGTAGAAAGCTCTGCATACGAATTTGATTCAATGCGGATTTGTAGAAGTCTTGAAAAGCGGTGTTGCATGGATTCTAGTTGAACTGGAAGTATAGGGGCCTGCAGGATCGCGAGAGTCGGTGAGGTTGCGGCCATTGCCCGCGCATTGAGCTTTCTCGGTTTTCTTTTGTCTTTTAAATGTTTTTCTGCTATCAGATGTAACTTCCGATTATTTGAGGCGATTACGAAAAGTATAGGATTGTTTTGAGTGGCTTGAGACCTTGTAGCATTCTGCGTGCGCAATGGCCGCAAATTCACCGACTCTCGCGATCCTGCACAGCCCTATATTTAGATGCATAGTCACAGGGTAAACGGCCTTTTTTAAGGTATAGCGAGACGGGAAAGATTAAGAAAACCGTGTGATTGCCACTGTATTGTTAGGCCAGCCCTAGTTAGATATCGGCCACTTGGTAGGAATGAGTTTGCAAGAGTGAGTAAACAGGTTGAGGCAAGTCGGAGAAAGGTTCGCTGAAGAATTTTCATATGGAACTAGTTGGCTTCCCCGGTCCAGCCCGGGCCTTGTTCCGTTCACTTGCACTGCAAGCCCCCCCCCCCTTTTATGGATGACTTACCCTAGGGACATCCTCTTCAAACCGCATCCTCGTGATCCTGAGGTTAAAATGAGCTTCACCGCCCTCCTTTACAGATTATGGGAGAATGCCTGACTGAACATGATAAGCCTTCAATTCCTTAGAAAAACGTAAACAAATCAATAAATCGATAGAAGGACCCAGTGAACCGCCGCAAAAAGTAGCCTATCAGCTGCGCAAGGGTCGAAAACATATGTGTGCAAAGTTTCAGCTGAATCGGTTGAGCGGCGCGCGTTTCTATAACGCACATACCCTCCAAACTGACAATTTTTGAGTTTTATCTATCTATATATATATATATATATAAAATAATATAAAAATAATATAATAAATATATATCTATCTATATATATATATAAAACTCAAAAATTGTCAGTTTGGAGGGTATGTGCGTTATAGAAACGCGCGCCACTCAACCGATTCAGCTGAAAGTTTGCACACATATGTTTTCGACCCTTGCGCAGATGATAGGCTACTTTTTGCGGCGATTCGTTGAGTCCTTCTATCGATTTATTGATTTGTTTACATTTCCCTAAGGAATTGAAGGGTTATCATGTTCAATCAAGCATTTTCCATACTCATGTAAAGGAGGGCGGTGAAGCTCATTTTCATCTCAGGATCACGAGGATGCGGTTTCGAAGCGGGTCCCAGGGTAAGTCATCCATATAGGGCGGGGGGGGGGGGAGTGGGAGGCTCGCAGTGCGGTGAACCATGGCCCGGGCTGGACCGGGAAAGCCAACTAGTATATATATAAAACTCAAAAATTGTCAGTTTGGAGAGTATGTGCGCTATAGAAACGCGCGCCACTCAACCGATTCAGCTGAAAGTTTGCACACATATGTTTTCGACCCTTGCGCAGATGATAGGCTACTTTTTGCGGCAATTCGTTGGGTCCTTCTATCGATTTATTGATTTGTTTATATTTTCCTGAGGA